GTGTGGTGATGGAAGATCCATTACAATTAATTCGCCATAAGCTTTAGCTTCTTTCTTCTTAGTTTGTGGATTAGACAAGAAGATAGAAGGAACGAGAGCAATCCCTTGAACAGCACGTTGTTGCAAGGGTGAAAATCTTGTTTTTAACTCTGAAAGTAAATGATCAATGAAAGGTATTATGACAGTACGACGAAAATATTGTTCTGGTGAATCACTTGGTGTATTTGCTCTATTTATCTGCCGTTTACCTAATCGTGGTACACTTGGCTCTGGTGCATCGACTGACTTGGATAAAGAAGTGGCCTGCGTATACCATTCTAAACTAACCTCATCAATTTCCTTCCGGCATCTTTCAATGCTGCTAATTACATTTGACACTTCTATCATGGCAGAGCAAATGTCAATTGATCGACCTTGTAAACTCACACTGAGTGAATGAATAAAACGGAGACCATTGCAGCACGTAACGTAAGAAATTAAGAAATCAAACTGTGTCACCCCCAAAAGAAGACCGCGTGCCTTTGCTACTGATTCTTGATTCCAGGAATCACCGTCAGCTATATCATTTAAAGTTTGCACAACTGCTGTATAAAGTTCTCCAAACACTTCCAATGCATCATGCCTGGCTACCCACCTAGTCTTGCATAGATCAACAAGTTTTTGCTTTCTGGACTCAGGACATAGATGCTGAATATTATGCTGCAATTGCAAATGACGCTTAGGTGAATACTTAAAAAATATACAGACCTCAAGCAAAGTACCCATCATGTTCCTAATTGGTTGTAATGAGCAGGCTTGGACTACAGCAAGATTGAGAACGTGAGAATTGCAATGGAAGTAAACAGCATTAGGATACTGCTGACTGATTATAGCTGCAGCTCCTTTGATTTTACCAGCCATGTTGCCAGACCCATCGAAGCCTTGACCACGCAGCTTAGACAAATCCAAACCGTATTCTTGCAGTTTACCAATCAAAAGTTTGGCAATTGATTCTCCTGTTACACTATCACATCTTATAAAATCTACAAATCTTTCAGAAATCTGTACACCATCATAAAATCGAACTGCAAGCGCTAACTGTTCCTTGTTAGATGCATCAGTCACCTCATCAGCCATAATGCTGAAGTAAACAGCCTCTTTTATTTGTTCTACCACTGTACACCTAATATTGTCTCCGCACCCATTAATCAGTTGATTCTGAATGGTTTTTGACCTATATGTTGCAGTTTTTGGAGCAGTTTTGAAATGTTCTTCTAGAATATTATCACCAGCACAAATACGGAAATCCAGAAGGGCTTGGAAGTTTCCACGGTTGTTATTAGAATTAGTGTCTGTCTCATTGTGTCCTTGAAGTGGTATATTTTGCCTACCACAGAGTATGACTGTTTGTAGAATTGACATCAGCTTTCGACGATTTTGTTGTATACGTAATTGGATGCTACTGCAAGTCTGCTGGATGACATTAGCTTGTCTCTGCTCCATTATCTCAATAAATGATGCCAAATCTTTCATTGAATTTTTATGGTATTCCGTTTCAGTATGCTTATATATATCTTGTGGTCCATCTTTAAATTTTGTCAATGGTGTGCTTACAAATACACCTGTTGATCTATGACTCGTTTTAGCAAAAATAATGCATGGTAAACATAAACCGCCGTTTAAAGCTTGACTGTAAACTAGCCACTGATTAGCTACCAACCATTTGTACTGAAATGAGCGTTTCTTTTTACCTTCTTGTGTTTGTGGAAAGCAATGATTAACATCTGGCTTCGCTACATTCCGGATAATGTCATATCTATTGGAAGCTGAAAACTGTCTAATTTTTTTATATAGTAGCCCAATGTCATATGGTTTGATAAACTCTTGAAGCATTTTATTTTCAAATGAGTTAGTGACACTTGATGAATTTAGAGGTATATCGTGCACTGTAGTCTTAGATAGAGGCAGCGAATCATGGACTGTAGATACGGATGGAGGAAGTATATCATGCACTGCAGACGTAGTTGTGGGCGACTGATCATGGATTGCAGATGCGGATGTAGGCGGTATATCGTGCACTGTAGATGTAGACGGAGTTGACTGATCTTGGACTGATGATGTAGGTAGTGGAGTTTTGTTTTGACTGAGAAAGTAAGCACTGATTGTTTTCATAGATCCGAAACTATCCACCAACTTCTGCTTCTTTTCCTCTTTCACTCGTTCAGGACCTGACATCTTTCGCTTGGTTTTATCATTCATTTTCTGTAATCGTAAAACATCGTATAAAAAATAAAACAACACATGGCTTAGAATCACTTCATCACTTAAATTTACTTAATAATGAATTAGGTACAAACTTTGCAGCGAATAATATGTTAACACGGTCACCGACCATGTTTTTGCAGTTTTTATTCTAAATTTAAGTTGGGAATTACACCTGTCAGTGAATAACATTTACATATATACGAATTTCAACAAATTTTAAGTTGAACAAAAATAAATACGTCTCAAATGTGTATGGAAATTATGGTCACGTACCTTTCAGCAATTTTTGGGGGCACGTGCCCCTTATGCCAACACTTCTCTTAGGGGGGGCACGTGCCCCTTAGGCCCCCCCTTGGATCGGCCCCTGTGTACCCTAAGCTAACTCCTAGCTTCTTGCTTGCCCATTTCATTTGAGTGAGCAGAGTTAACCTCCCTTATTTTGCGCACTTTACCATTTGGTCTGATCTTGGCAGTAGCTATTTGTACATCTCCAATACACATATCAGCATACTCGATCATGCATACATAGAAATATTTTAGTTTCATCCATTTTTTTTTTTTTTTTTAATATTAGCTACCTGTACTCATGTATTCCACTAGTTTAATAGATTACATGGTAATATTAAAATACTTTACATACAAAAAAAAAAAACAACACACTACTTGTTTTTAGTTCTTTAATTGCATTAATTTTTTTTTTATATTCTATTGTATTACTGTGATTAAGTGTAGTAGCATAAGTTTTCTTAAGCTGTACAACATATTTTATTTAGAAACAGCACAGAACATTTCATGTATTGGTATGTCACAGTTGACTGAACTCATTTTGGTGAATGTAATTTTGGACTATTTGATAGATATCAGCCGATTGAACTGCTGTTTGGTGGATATCAGTTGATTGAACTCTTTTATGAATGTTCATATTAGTTGGACTATTTTGATAGATTTCATTTGATTAAACTTTTGTATGAATGTTCATATTGGTTGGATAATTGAATGTTATTGTTTAATGAATATTTCAGTGGATGTTATTTTTTTTAAATAAATTATCATCTTTTGTATTTGAATTTGACAATGATTATCTTAAGTCAAATCAAATTTGTTTCCATTTTATTTGTTGACTCAGCTGCCATGAAAAATTACAGAATTAATTTATTTCTTTTTTAATTGTGAAAATATGTCAAGTGTAACCTCAAACAAAAAAATATTTTATGTATTATCACCCAAGTCACTACAGCAAGTCTTAAGAGCTGGGTCCTTACAATGGTCTGGGTAAAATGCTGACAAAAGAGATAGAAAGAAGTAGAAAAGTTCTGGGTTTTTTTTTTGTTTGGTTCCTAGAGGCTGGCCATATGACCTTAGCAGTACTTTTTTGGCAAAAGTCTTATGCCCTTGTTTTTATAAAATATATCTATTACAATTTCCATTAGTGGAGGATAAATCAGCTTCTTGTTGGGCTAACAGATATGAAGAAATGAAATGACCCCAAAACTGAAATCACACTAAAAGCACCGAAGAGTTGCTAGGTCTGGCACATGCTGATAGGAAAAATATTTGTAAGAGTGGATGGAAGTGATCATCAATAGAATAACCTCTTCCTTGTTTTACTTTTATTATATATCAATCTATGTATATATTATATATTCATTATGTGATTATTATATGGATTAAATGTGTTGATGAAATGGTGCTGTTCATTATAATTTGAATACACTATAATAATATAATCATGTGACCAAAAGTCCTCATGGCAAAATAATATTTTTTTTTTGGGTCCAATATTCTCTTAGAAATTTAGCTTTATTTAATGTTAATAAGACAAAGTGATCATTGTACTCTTTTAGTTAGCCATGTATTTGTAGCAGTTTCTAGACTTTTTTTTTTAAAAACAGGATATGACTTTTGACCCTGATCCGTTTTGAAAATTGTATAGATGAAGGGAGACCTGGCCTATATATTTCATATACATTCACAATGTCAAGGCTGCTCTTGGCTTTTTGAACATGTTTCTGTTGTTTTACTGTACTAAGTTCATAGTTTAAATCAATTCCTCTTAGTGTTTCACACAGATGATGTAACGTGCATGGGCAACATAGTTTAGGGTTGGATAACAACACATTGACCTGAGGGTTACTGCCATATTATTTCTATTTAAGAATCACTCATTAAGATGGTATGATATCCATCCAATTGAGTTGTGCTTGGGCCATAATAAAAACATAAGTTAATGTTACCAAATAAGCTGTTGGTGGAGCGAGCTTTCATTTATCCCACTTTAAAATGTTTGTTCTAAGTCAGAATGTTTTTATGGTTTGGTATTTTGGCTATCATCTGAATGATGTTTAGAAGAGATGGATTTCAAACTGCGTTTGTTATCATTGTAATAAAAGTTTTTTCATATGTTACTGAATTGAAAGGCTACAAAATCCAAGAAATAATGATTTTTTTCCCCCTTACCTTTATCTTGAATGAAGTTTGAGTCAGGTGAATTTAGCATTCAACTCAGCTACAATGACAGTCCCACACTTGGAAACTAAATACTCAATCTGCCTGACATCTGGATATCTCTGGTTCAGTGTAGTCTTTCCTTGGGGCTCAGCATTTAGAACACAGCTCTTCCCTATGTAAATACCAAAGTTCATTCTAAGGTTACATTACTAGTGTGTAGCTCTCTAAGGCTCTAAGGTTACATTACTTGTGTGTAGCTCTCTAAGGTTATATTACTTGTGTGTAGCTTTCTAAGCCTCTAAGGTTACATTACTTGTGTGTAGCTCTCTAAGGCTACATTACTTGCGTGAAGCTCTCTAAGCCTATGTCAATAAAATAGAGACAAAAAAAAAAGGTTGGAGGAACTTTTTTTTTTCTTTTTAAGATTATGTTATTGATAGACAAGACTGTCAACCTATTTATCTGTTCACATATCATGGAATTTATCAAATAAATTTAACTTCTAGAATGCTTCTTTTGTTTGTCATTTAGAAGTGATGATTTGTCTTTTTCAGGTCTAGTTTACTGGCATTCAACAATTCTAGTCCTTAAAGAGCCATGAAACTAACTTTAATTAGATAAACAAAAATTAGACACTCTCTTATCTTGCCCCATTGCAAAATATATCAATAATTTTTAGTTTACCAATGGTTTTATTTTTTGTTAACAATAGTTGAGCACATATTTAAGGGAGACAATAAATATGTCTTCAAAACATAGACAACTCTGTGGTCCACATTGATTTTACTTGACACCAAACAACTTTCTGTTAAGACACATGCAACACTCACTGCCATGACGCAGGCTGCAGCTTTCTTGGAAGAAATGGCTGTTGATGAGCCACTCATTGGTCACTTCCCCAAATAAATTGATGAAGATAAAAATGGACTGTTCCTCATCTCATAGTGTGTTTCAGGACCTAATAGACATGACTATAAAGGCATATTCCTTGTTCCACATGCTAGGACAAATTTGAATGAATACTCTTTCTTCCCTAGTGCTGAGCATGGAAGGGTTTGCCTAAGTCATCCAGGAAAACCAATGACTTGGTAGAGTTTAAGTCATGCATTACTAGATTGACCTAGGGATAGGCTTACCACATAATCATCTTTTTTGAAGTAATGTCTGTATTTTATGAGTAGCCTGTAAAGGACTGCACTGCTTTCATGTTTACTGTGCCACTTAAATAGGATGCAAATTCTGTTTTGTCTTTGTAGCAATGTAGATTAATTGAGTGAGGCTTAATGTGTCAATGAATATATTATAATTCAGTATATGAACAAATATTTGGTTATTAACAGGTTCCTAATGTAGGGAGAGAGCTCTTTATGAAAGAACTGGCCCAATACTTCTGACATTCTTAGAAAATTGTTACCATCTTACTATAACTCCATTCTCACAATGATATAAATGAAACAAGCCATTGCTTTATTTGGACATATAGTTGTTGAGATGTAGGGTCCTGAATTGTGATACAGCTATAGATAGCAATCATTTGTCACACAAACTTGAATAAAACTAGATTTTGAAACAATGTTAGAGATTTTTTCATAAATATTTACAGGCTTTCAATTTCAGTGTAGAAATATACAAAACTACACATTAACTCTCAAGTTCAATAATTAAAAACTATAGATATCTCAAGTCACAGCTGGGGTGCATAGCCACAGAAAATACCACATCCCTCATTAAAGACTCGAAGACAATCCTTATTATAGAGATGTCAAACTCTCTTAATGTCTACTGTTATTGCTATTCAATATTCCACCCATCTCCCTAATACAGCTGCACATGCAAAAAATGTACCAATAGTGGATGTTTATTTAAATGACAATTGTTGAAGATAAAAATTGTGGCCACTTATTTACTTTGAACTGGAACATCTCTTTGAAAAGCAGATTATATTCAGGTCATGGATAGACTCAGCCTTGTACTGAGATATCTGCATGTCAACTGTTGTATTCTTAAGCCTCTCAAACATACTTTACCTTAGCAGCTTCCAGGTTCAAAATCCATCTCAATCCTAACCTAACAAAGTGTCCTTCTATGATCACTGACTGGCATAGCAAGTTCACTTTTGTATCTTTTAATAACTTTTAACTCTTTCTCTCCATAATTACTTACCACATTCTGGTGGAATCAACGCTGGTATTGTCAGTTAGGAGAGAAAGAGTTAAATGCCATATAAACATGAAATTAGTTGTTTCAATGTGTGTAATGTTATATTAATTTTATACAGTTTCAGTCTCTTTGACTGATTAGATAAATTAAAGGGTATGCAAATTTGAATAAAATGAGACTTGTAATTTTTAAAAAGATAGATGTTGACTCAGCAGAGAAACCTTATACAAGGCAAGTCTAGAAAGACACTAGAATTAATGACATATATTCAGACAGCCTTACACCACATAATGCTATGAACATCAACAGATTTGAGCACATCATTGTAGATAAAACTCATCACGCTGTATTATATCAAAATTTATTGATCTCATTATCATTACATTAATATCAGATTTAAATCAGGTCATACTGACATTTAAATTTTGTTTATTAACCTTGTCATTATATAGCAAAAATAGTGGATGAAAGATGACATTAAAAGTAAAAAACAAAAGAAAGTACAATTATGTACCATATGTAAACAAACACATTAGGACAACTACAACATGGCTTGTTGTAAGTGAACTATTTGTATATCACTATAAGCATCAAGACTAGTAGTAGGTCAACTAACTAATTATATACAACTATAAGCATTAAGACTAGTAGTAGGCCAACTATTTTTAAACAGATAGAAGAATCAAGTATAGTAGCAGACCAACTATTTATATATGGCTATAAGCATCAAGACTAGTAGTAGGCCAACTATTTATAAACAGATATAAGAATCAAGTATAGTAGCAGACCAACTATTTATATATGGCTATAAGCATCAAAACTAGTAGTAGGCCAACCTTTTTTAAACAGATATAAGAATCAAGTATAGTAGCAGACCAACGTTTTGTATATGGCTATAAGCATCAAGACTAGTAGTAGGCCAACTATTTATAAACAGATATAAGAATTAAGTGTAGTAGAAGACCAACTATTTATATATGGCTATTAGCATCAAGACTAGAAATAGAGCAACTATTTACATATGACTTAAAGCATCATCTTGTAGTAGACCAACTATTTATATATGACTTTGAACATGTTATCTTATTTTATAAATCACAGATGTTTCTTCAGAAGTGAAGATAATTATGTCATACATGTATCCGTGTTCAAATCTAGTCATGCATGCTAATCAGGCAACCCAATGCACACTTTAATAACACTAGGAAAGAAGGAGTATTTGTAAAAAAATTTCTTTGCATAAGGAATAAGAAATGTGCTTGAGTTAAAAATAAAAAAAAATAAAAAAATATTTATATATCGCTCTGAATGTGATAATTAAGAGACCAAGCTGTGGCAGTGCCTTAAAATTAATTTTTGTGCAAAATATAAAATTATCTAATACTGTAAGAAATAAAATATATAAAAAGTGTATAAAAAAAAGAACAGTTGATTCATTATACAACAAACATCCTTCATATAACAAATGAATCTCATAATAAACAATACATAATTTTAGATCTTATTTGCATAGAAAATGTCTCAACAATATTGAAATTAGAACAAAAAAAGTCAAAAGTATAATTGTGGCACTTTCTTAAATCATTATTGATCATTACTTTTTGTTTTGAAACAACCATTACTGGTAGATACTTAAGAAAAGAACAACACCATAATAGATGTTTTTTTTTTTTCAAAGCATTGCTTACAAATTGCTGAATAAAAATAAGGCACTTATGTTTGACATTAATTTGACAGGAAGAAAAATTAAAAATTGCGTTCTCAGAAATTTTTGTTTGGAAAAAAGGAACAAGTTGCATTATAACAAAAATTTATACATTGAATATTTGAAACATTGTACACAGACATAAAAATGAAACAAATCCATTAAAAAAGGAAACAAATCCTACATATAACCTCGAGACAAACTCTGGCTTGATCATGTCATGTAAAATAGGTTAAGTAAATGCTATTTTACCAAAGGAAATAATGTTAACAAAAGCCTATCTATTGGCTAAATTGAACTTGGGAACAAGAATTGAGCAATAATCTTAACATCTCAAAACATGGCAACTGATCTTTATCACATATCTCCTTCATTACTGCCAGTTTGTCCCCCATATTTTTAGAAATATATTTATGTTGGAAGTCATAATGACTTGCTACCCACATAAAGTCAAAACTCTACCGCCACATCACAAGGTCCTCAGGGCTCGCAAAGACCTTCCCAACGGTGCCAGGGAGAAGAAGAGGAAGGCAGAGAAAGCAATGGGAAACCTCAAAGAATTGACAGGCCTGTCAATGAATGAAAAATTCTATCAAAGGAAAAGGACAAAGAGAAATCGAGAAAGATGGTTGACAGATCCTGTGTGGCGCCCCGGACTAAGGGATAGGTGAAGTCATACAGTTAAAGTCTAATTCTTCCTACACAATGAAATTATTTGCACAATCATTTTGTTTCGGCAGCCTGTATTTATTTCTCCATTAAAGCAGTGGGTGTAATATTATTAGTAAATAATCAAACTTGGCATATAAAGATAACTTAATCATAAGATGATTGGGAGAGCTCTGAGAAAGTTCCAGAACCAATACTACCAGGATCAAACTGTAAACCAAAGGGCAGTAATGCTTCTTGTTGTTCTGTGTTTGATGAATCTACACTTGTTTCAGAAGCATTCACATTATTTACTGGATATGATTGAGATGAACTGCTACCAGTATTTACTGGATATGGTTGAGATGGACTGCTACCAGTATTTACTGGATATGATTGAGATGAACTGCTACCAGTATTTACTGGATATGGCTGAGACAGATCGCTACCAGTATTTATTGGATATGGCTGAGACAGATTGCTACCAGTATTTACTGGATATGGCTGAGATGGACTACCAGAAGTGTCATCACAGATTTCTGATTCATTTTGATCTGAATTAGATGGTAAGATATTAGAAGCACCATCTAACAAGAATTTAGATTCCACGGGATTGGGCTGAGAAAAGTGAAATGCTAATGCAGAGGTCAATAATACTGATTTTTGTGAAAAAAATGAATATTCTTTTGGTGATTCAGTAAATGGACATATTCCAGAATCGCTCGTAAGGTCATAAGCCTTTAGGTCTGTAAATGAAGTAGGATTAACTGACTCCATGGAGTTGCTGTTAGCTTGAGAGTGATGAGTTGCATTGTCAGAGCTTGAGTTATCACTATTAGTCACATGGCCACTATCCAGTGAAGCATCATTTGAAGTCTGTGAAAGGGAAAAAATCAAACAATGAACAAATTGCATTTAGTGTATTTAAACATAAAGCATTTTCTTTTAGTGCAGTCTAAAGTGAAAAAATATTAACATGGTAGTGGAGCTAATGAAAAACTCTAAGAGGATAAGATCTTGTCCTGCACACCTTATAGGCCATGGGTTCTCAACCTGTGGGTCGCGACCCCCTCTGGGGTCGATTGACGATTTGCCAAGGGTCGCCTTAGACCATCATAAATAAGGATTGTTTTTGTCTATTCTTCTATTGCTGTGTGTGTCTATTGGGGGCGGGGTCGCAGCAGATTGGTATATTGTAAAAAGGGGTCGCTTAGCTTAAAAGGTTGAGAACCGCTGTTATAGGCAATCCATTTACAATTAACTGATCCATACAAACTAACTGATTTGACTTAGAGCAGTGGAAAACTTTGCTTATTTAATTTGAGAAATTAATTCAAGTGGGTGGCCTACTAGTTAATTATTCCAGTAGTTTATTGAACACTTATTCAGGCCTAGTGTTCTGCTCAACACAGTTTGGGAACCACTGACTTAGAGATAGAAGTATCGAACCTAACTCTGACCCTGTTCTAAATTTTTTAAAATATGCATAACATGTTTGTTCAGATAAAAAGATCATTACATTCGAGCCCAACCCACCTGCAGGATAGCATGAGTTGGTGGCAAACAGGGTTTGAACCCTAGATCATCATCACATTACCAGGCAGCCAGCCAAATTAGACTAGCTTTAAATGTGGTGCTAGTAACAATTAAAACAAAATCTCTGACTAGAATCTTTGGACTGATGCTTTTATTAACTTCATTTGCTTGGACAAATGAAAAAATGTTCAAGTATTGAAGATTTTGTCAGGTAAGTGCACTTTTAACTCAGAATCTCAAAATTCCTGATACTCTTATGAAAAAATAAACTGAACACTTAAACGCATACAATCAAAATATATTAGGATTCTAGTACGACATAAAAAAATGATTTGTTTTTTTTTTGGTAATACCAAGTGGGCTGAGAGTAACATTTTGTAAGTACAAGCTTAACAGAAAATAGTTGACTGTCCTTAACTTAAGAATATAAGGACTTAGTACCGACTTGATTGAAATCTTAGAAGGCACTGGTACTGACAATAAAGAATAAAGTAAAGTTCCCCTTTCAGACGGGATCTATAGGGCAGATGATGTTAAGGTAATTTGTTTCTGTGGCCCACGGTTAACGAGGATGTCATGTGGCCAGCACAATGACCAACCGCCCTTACTTTTCTCCTTTTTCCCCCAACTAATGTCAGGTACCCATTAGAGCTGGGTGGACTATTATTTTTCTTTTTTTGTTAAGGAAAAAGTTAATGGCAAATATACTATTAAAGGCTTCAATCCGATGGGTCATTGGATTTGAATTTGAGTGAGCTATAGAAGTTTTGGTGGGTGTTTCATTTTTTTTTTAAATGAACAAAGTGTCCAACACAATGAGAATTTATTTCAATATTTACCATGTGAAGTGAATCTGGAGAGTCTGATGTTTGATTATTTCTCATTTCAGAAAAATGTTGACGCCTTTTTTTACATTTTTGATAGCAACTATCAAAGTAAAAACAACAACAACAAAGTATTATTCAATAAAATTGTAATAAAGACAGTGTACAATAATCAAAATAGATCCAGAATTTGTTAGTAGTAATTTTTTTTAAAACTCCATATATATAATCTCAAACAATCAGAGCTTCTGAGGTCCTTTGTCATGTCTTATCATTCACTGATCACTTCTTTTAAAAAATGATTTGGTATTTCAACAAGTGTAATAATTAAACTTTCAATAACTACTTGTTGGTCTCTAATCCATTACCCATCAGTTGGGATGCAATGTTTATAGTATATTCCTATGTAGTTGTTCATCTGTGTAGCAGTAAATTTTAATTGAAATTCTCAAATATAGCACTACATAGGCATCCCATAGAGGCTAAACAGATTCTTTGAGCTGATTATGTAAGTATTTTGTGCACTGTGGCTATTAAAATCTTAATAGAAAAAATTTTTTTAAATGATTTTTAAAAAATCTAATATTGACCTTGTTCTTTGTTACCTTAGTGTGGCTTTTATTATATATTGCATGTCATGTTTATTCATACAGTGTTTCAGACAGACAACTGTTTTTATGTGTGACTGAGTAATGTTGATCTGATTTGAGATGTCTTTCATAATAGTAGTGATGAAAAATATCCCTAAAATCAACTACATTTCCTTTTATTAAATAAAAAAAAAATCTAATTTACCTATAAGAGAAGAGTCCACAGACTAATAAGGCAACAATGGATATAACAATAATCCATATGATAGACCAATCAAATGTTGACTCTAACACTCCTGTAA